TTTTATCTTCACTTGCTCTGATTTATTGGGATATGAGATAAGCATTGTGTTTGTCCTAAAATACACAAGAACAGAGGATGTTGACTGTCAAGAAATCATAGTACTACTTAACTACAGGTGTGTGTAACAGAACAAGAAGAGATGAAATGCCACTTTATAGATAATAAGTGAGGGTAAAAATTGGAGAAGGAATTAACTAATTGGGACCAACAAACAAAAAGTAAGTAAAAAATAAATAAATAAATAAATGAATAAATAAATAAATAAATAAAATAAAATAAGACTGATCAAGACATGTTTATGATGTCATTACCCGTAAGTAATCAAAGGAAGTAATTTCATGTAAATAAATTTGTATCATGTCAACAACTAGATGTCATGTGACTCTGAGAGAACAGCTAAAGATATCTGCAGCAATATGATGCAAAGTGCCACAAACACTCACCGTCACATCTCTCCCCACGGCAGGTGGACATGGCACTGTGGTCCACTGCTTCAGACGACATGCTCAGCTTGGTAGCCGGGTCTCTCCTAGGCTTAGGTGGTGGCTGCTTCCTAGAGGTGGGACTCCCCACTTCCTCATCTCCTCCTCCTCCTCCTCCTCCTCCTCCTGTGTTACCGCCACCAACAGAGTGGAGGGACTGGGAGCGGACCGAGAAGCCCTGACCGCAAGCGATAGTGTGCAGGTGGGGCAAGGGTATTCGCTCCTGGGGCTCAGGCATGGTTATTGAGCCCATGCGCAGGTGCTTGCCTTCTGTCGCTATATCCTCACCAGTTCTGAAAGCAGCAAAAAGGGGAGGGGGGAGGAATAAAAGAAAAAAAAAAAACTAATTTAAAGATGGAGAATTAAACATGCAAGTTCTGATAAAATATGAGAAAAAAAATAACACAAACTCAGAAACAATTTTGTTTATATGTTTGTGTGCATTTGATAAGGGCATCAAGTCAAGTCATCGACAAATGCGAGTTTCACTGACAGCATAAAAGTCACCAGAGTTAAGGCACAGTATTGATTTGAGCTTAACCCTGGATATGACTGACACTAGTCACACAAACACAATGGAAGCCTCAACCCCCACTCCCCCGCCTGTAAACAATCAATGCCTATAAATGGATGATTGGCCTGAATGGAGCCTTAATGATGGGCAAAAGGGGAACACTAATTGGATAAAGTGTGTGCGTGTTTGTGTGTGTTATACGTGCATGCTTGAACTGTTTTCATATTTCATATATTGAAAGCTAAGAAAAGAACATAAACTGATATGTACATGTTTACAAATGTGACACATATCAGAATTCATATGTGCTTAAAGCATGAATGTGCATGCTCCTTTGCTGACAGTGACTCCCTCTTGGCCAGCTGCTGAACAGAAGGCGCTGTATAGATTTGGTTCATTGCTCAGACTCTGCTTTGCCTAGCAACAGGACACATATACACATCAGGCACAAAACCAGCTGCCCCGGCACAACAATAACAAAGTACATGTGCACAACGCAACACTTGCACATGGCTGCATCTCATTGTCAAGGTAGTTTTGCTTAAAAACTAAGCAGGCGGTTCAAGAAAAAGATGCCAGCAGCAAACCTTAGAATGTCACTGTGATAAGCCTGTCAAATAGGGAAATCAAAGCATCCAAAATCTTAACACAAAAACATATTTTGTATCCTTGTTTGTTTATTTATATGTCATTATTATAGTCATGATTAAGGTTTTGGGATAAAATGTAATTGGAAAACAAGCAGAAAGATTACACCTATTAGATGTAGCCACACTTGTCATTGAAAAAAAAAAAATTGTTTCTGCTTCCCATATGTTGCAAATATCTCATTGCAGCTTCAGTGTGCATGGGTCGCATGTGTGTAGGTGGCTTGGTGTGACTGAAGTACTGGTGGCTGAGTTATTTTTAGGATATTTGCCCAGTGATTGGCTAGAGGACAGACCACAGGTGCAGTTGGACCAAATGAAGTTGACTTGTTGTTGGGCAACTCTGCTTTTCTGTGTGGCAATGTTAAAAAATAAAAATAAAAATAAACAAATAATTTTCTCTGTTTAAGGAGCAAGGAGGATACTGAGTAAAGAAACAGAATGAGTGCCTGTAAGTGGATGCACACATGCTCCAAAGGGTTTAGAAGAGGGAAAGGAGACGTTTGAAATTTGCATTCCCATGCAAATGTAGGAACATTTACATACGTTTGGTCTTCTATGAGTTTGTGGTTAGGAGGGACAAACGGTGATTAAATACCCTTTAATAAGTATTTCTGTGAGGCTATGGCAATGACTTTTGTGTTCAAAAAGGTAAAAAAGAAAAAAAAAAAAACAACAGAAGAGACCCTTAGTGAGGAAACTGTCAGCAGGAAGGCCCGCCTTGCTCAAATCCAACAGGCTGATTCAATTGGACTACAGCTCCTCCAACTGTCACCAGGCAGAACACATCCCCTGTAACTGAACTCACACTTAATCATTCTCTAACAAGTTTTTCTTCACCACACTCTTAAATACACTCAGTCTAATACAATTTACAAGCCATTTGCTCTCCCTTCCCCCCTCCCCTTCAACAGCTCCCCTCTCATTTCTTTTAACCTGTTGTTCAAGCATGGATGTGCTTATTCACTCACAGAAACAAGTATGCACTATGAATTCTAAAACTCTCTCTCAGTTACTGTAAGAAATAGGTCATCTCATTGACCTACTTGCAGGAGTCACACAAAAAAAAACATTGCAAAATTTGATGCTCCTCCTGAAGTGGAAAGGTATTAATGCTCTTGCTCTGGCAAAATCTAAAAGGAAGAAAATGTCAGTTTCCTCAGGCATCCCCTGTGTCTAATTCCTGAAGTTGCTCCACAGGATTACATCAGACTACTGATAGAGATGGGGAGGCGGGGGGAGGGGGGGAGGTGTTTTGATGCGAACACAGAAGGATTTCCAACTTTAACGACCTCCAAAAATGCTTGGAGTATTAGCATTAGCAACCCTAAATCAGCTTTGATTGTGAAAGTAATAAAACGTAGCCACTCTGGAATGAGCTGTCCACAAAGAGTCACACAAAGAACAACAGGCAACAAAAGAGGAAGAGATCTTTAGAATTACACGACCTTTGACAGGAATGTGACAGGGCTAAAGATGCAGATGAACATCTGCTCACTTAACATTCAACCATCCAGGGTTGCGCCAAAGTAATGACTGGATGACGAGATAAAACTTTGAACAGGGGCTTAAATACTTTGTTTTTCACAGACTGATAAAAAAAAAAAAAACATTTATTCCGTTTTAACACTGGGTAGCATGTTTTTCATAACTGCTGCCACAAACTGAAGCAGTTTATCTTAGGAAATGATCCGATTACCAGTAGGAAAGAAGTGAAAGTGCTTTTTTTGTCGGTAGATCATGTATTTTATCCTTTCACCGCTTTTTAAAATCAAGCACAATTGAACAATATGAGAGCAACTAAACCAGCTAGAAGTTGTTTTACATGTTGGAATGTTATTATAAGTCATTTATCTTCACAATTAGGAAATGTGTGTTTGTTTGTGTGTAAGCTGACAATCAGCTTTGATTGAATTACCTACAATAGGTGAGATACTGTCTCACCTATTGTAGGTAATTCAAGTTACTGATGTCAGGTGAGATAGTATCTCACCTGACATCACTACACCTTTATGGTGGCATCACCTTTTGGCCATATCTAGGGATGGTTTTGGTGTTCCTGTTGAAAACCTTTGTAATCAATGTGTGAAAACAGCATTTAGATGTAATAAAATGCCTTGTCCCTGATAGACAAAATTATTCCCACACATTATATAATTGAATATACTTAAACATAACACATTTTCAGCATAGACAGAAGTATTCTGTACCAGAAAACAGAATAAAAATAGTTCCCCTGCATCTTTCTCGTTTGTATCCTCACAGTCTAAAGCTTCTTCTTGCACAGATGATTCTCCTCATTCTTGCTGTTTTTTTTTTTTTTTGTTTTTTTAATAGAGCATCAGTGACCTCTTTGCAAGGACGAGTCCTAAATAAGTCTAAATGAGAAATTAATTATCCTCCATAGGTTCATAGAGTGCATCAGTCCACACTTGTTAACCCCAAAATAAAACAACCTGCCACCCTCACAGGCACCCTCTTCCACTTGTCCCAATTCTCTCTAACCTAAAGGGAACTCTACCACATCTGTGATGTCACAGAGTTGTAGCAGGCGTGATACATCTAATCAGAGATGAAGGTAAAACCAAGTGTTTGTGTGTCCTCTGACATCTCTGTTTATTCACTTATGCTCATGGATTTTGTTTGTTGTTTTGTGGCTGGTTGCCTTCCTACCTCCTTATGGCTTCCTCCTGTTTCCTTTTCTTCTCGTTTTTTTCCTGCAGGAATGTCCTGTTTCTTTCATTCCTGGTGTGGTCCAAGTTCTGAGCCAACAGGCTGTTGTAGGCTCTCAGCCCATTCTCCTCAACATATTGGAAAAAGCTGAGAGTTTCCTCCTCTTTGGAGCTCATCATTCTTCAAGTCTTTGCACTGCATTCTAATTGAAAGGAAAAAAAAACCTCTTAGTTATGATCACTTACCTAATCGGTGCACAGAATATTCAGAATAAAGAGTAACATGGATCTTTCCAGGAAGCATGCTATTGTGCCATTAGTTATATTGTCTTACAAAAGTATTTATAACCCTTAAATCAGTGGAAGCAATTGCCTTCCGAAGTCTCTGTTAATTCTTGAAGAGTCCCTGCACAGAGCAGCAGTGGAAGCATTAAGTTGTGGGAATATTTTTCATCCATTCAGAAGGTGATTGGAGCTAATACAGAACATTCCTGGAAGAAAACAAATTCAAGAGTGCGAAAGACTTTTGGGTCTGAAGTTTAGCTTTCTGCAGAACAAGGTTCTAACTAGAAGCCGTAGTGACAGTGGACTTTTACAGTTACTACTTTTGTAATTATCTCGTGCAAAGCACAGTTTTTATTTTCTGATTATAAGAAAGCCAATTATTAAAAAATAGCTAAAAGCCTCATACAAATCTAACACACTGAGTTGATCAAAGTATCTGTTAACATTTATGAGTAATGATGTGTGGCTCTTTTCAAAGAGAAGCTGTACGATGTTGCTGAGTCTTGCATCTTCCGTGGTATAATTCATCTTTTGAGGGTGGCATCATGTTTCATTCAACATTCTCACACACCAGCAGTTAGACATAACTTCCTGTTTGAGTGTTGATTAACAACAGGCTCATTTTCTCAGTTGTATCTGCACATTTTTCAGCGTGAAATGACTGGTTTTAACCAAGAGAGCATTGAGATACAGCATTCCTGGGATAAAAAAAGGATTGACACAAACAAATTAAAGCAGTCTCACTGAACAAAAGCACAGCTTTGCACATACAAATAATGTTTCATTTATTTATTTATTTTGCTGTTGTTTGCTTTGATCCACAAATCTTTCTCTGTTGCCCCCCAACTCTGCAACAAAAAATTATGCAGCTAATTACAGTTCACTAGTAAACTATAATAAAACTCATTCCATCTCTTCAATCTCAGAAGCATATAAGACGTACAGAGCATGTATGTGCTGGATGCATTTTTCCAAAAAATAAAAAATAAATAAATATAATAATAATAATAATAATAATAATAATAATAATAATAATAATAACATGCAAAATTATACATAAAATATGCAATGCTCTCAACTTGAATTTAGAGAGTCTAGAATAGGATGAGGAGAAGACAGTGCATGCTTTTATGTAGGTCAGTGTTTTCAGATCAGCCGAAGACTTCTGCTTGTTTACGTACGAGAGAAGCACTGAGTGGGAGCGAGCATGGAGAGAGGGGGGTGGGGGGAAGGGGCTTTGAGATAACTGCATGTATGTTGTGTGTGCAGGGAGGCTAGGGCAGTGAGGGGGGTCTTGGAGGGCAGCCAGATGGAGACTGCGCAGCTAACAGGGAGGGCAACCATTGTCTGGTCATCCTTAGCATCTCTGCATCCCGTGTCTATCTATGCCTCGCCATGCAGGGTAGGTCAGTGGGTTTATCTGTAGGCTCCACACCCCTTCTGGCATCCTCAACACCTCCTCAGCCCATCTTTTTAAAGACATATGGAGTGATTGCTGTTAGAGACAGGAGAGTTCACACTAGGGCACCGAAGCACGGCGACGAACAATTTTGATGTATTTTGATTGCAAGATTTAGTCACTAGTGCACATACAGACATGTGCGTATAAGTCTTTGGTATGGGAAAATTGAACTGAGTTTTAAGGAAGAAATGAGGTATGCCAGCATAAGTGCAGAGATGAGAAAGCACTGTTCAAACAGTGTTTGAGCTGAATTAAGCCTACCGGCTTAATCCTGTAAGCCTGCAAAAGAAGCCCACACTGGAATCAGCTTGTTTATCACAGTGTTTTTACTGGCCTTTTACAAAGGCTTGTTCTCAAAAAACTTAGTGATTTAAAATTATGGTAACATTCTATCACTTCAGCAAAATCTATAAATTCTCCAACCAGTTTTTTATTTATTTTTTTGGTTTGTTTTTAGATATTTCAATTCCTTTTGTCTCATTTAGATTTCCTCTTGCTTTCAGTTCCTCCTCTGCTCATTGTTGCCCTAAATGACAGTTGAGACAGAGGTGCACTTTGCTTTAAAAGTAAATTATGGTGGCACATCGTTTCTGTTTCCAGGCAACCATGTCACCAGAGAGGGCCACCGTGGATATTCTAAAGACACAATGTCAAAAAAATTTCAGGGCCAGCATTATGGTGGCCTCACGCATGGGTGCTTGTGCATGAATACACACATACAGACATACATCAGTGGATTGCAGTTAACCTCAGCTAACCTTTAGTTGCTTTACTTTTCAAAATGCCAACAACTGACAAGTCTTTCACATGTGTCAGGCTAATTTCTAAGTGGAAATTCCTGCCAAATTAAAGAGTATATGCATGAAATAAGTAGACTGGTTATTAATCTGCCTAATGTCCTGTGTGATATTTTTTGTTATAAAAAAAAAGCATTACGATGCATACTTACAATAGGGCTTTGTCTTTACTGTGGTGTAAACCAAAGTGTCTTCTGTCTCTCCCTGAGTCCACGGTGCAACAATGAACTCTGACCTATGCAGAACGGTCCATGCACTCGTCCACTTAAATCCACATAGACCTCCGTCCATCGTTTGTTTACTTATTTTTTTTTCCCCCAACAGATTGTGTCCCACTTGAAAGAGTCCCAGTGACCCAGGATGAAGATGGAACTAGAAGGGAGCTGGGCCATCAGGTGCCCTGCCCAGTGCTCCCTTCTCCTGGGCCAAGTATCGTGCACCTCCAATCCAGATGCTGCCAGACTCCAAGCCAGCTGTGAGAGCTTCACTTCTACGCACATGTGCGTGCGCTAAAAAAGCAGCACACAACTGCCACTGCGTGCATTGCAAAAATGCACCTCACATCTTCTCAAGCCAAAGTCCTCTCACAGCTGCATAGCCAACTTGGCTTTAAAGTCCAGTTCAAGGCTCTTCTTTCTCGGAGAGTTTCTTCTTTGCACGTTCTATTCGATCAAAGTCTCGCGACAGTAATTTAAAAAAGGGGATCCACATCCGCGGCGCTCTGGTGGATGAGGTAGACCAAGGGTTCTTGCATTCCCTGCCGATTTCCTCTGTCCTGTTCAGCTCAGTACCTCGGTGCTTAAGCAGATGACACTGGGCTTCCCAGCTATACACCAAAACAAGAACACGCCCACTGCCTACTGTAGCCACCTTACTCTAATACGTCAGCCTCTCTCTCTTGCTCTGTGTCCATCTCTTTCTTCCACAGCTCTTTTTTTTTTTTTTTGCTGAGTCCCTTTGAACTAATATTTCTGTCACACTAATACACAAGCCTCTCTCTGCAAGTTTTTGTTTCTTGTGTCTCGCTTTGCCTTTCCCTTTGCAGCTGAGAGGAAGCTTGAGCCTGAATGTGTTGTTCTGTTGTCAGCACCACGGAGAGTTCTCCCTGTCAGGGGGTGGAAGAAGGCGGGGAGTTGACAGGGTGGGCACGGTGGGACAAATGCAAAGACAGGAGAATAGGAGGGGTAGGTGGGAGGAGTCAAAGGGTTGCCAGGGTGTGACCTCATTAGATGCAACCTCCTCTTCCCCTGGCAACCACTGCGATTACCCTCCCTGATGCCTCCTCCTCCTCCTCCTGCTCCTCTCCTGCAGCTCGTAAACAAGACCATGACATGAAAACACTGGCTGTGAATGCACCGTGTTGCTCTCTCGTGCCGTCTCGGGTTGTGGTTAAAACAATGAGGAATAAGGAGAGTACTCAGAGCAAAACAGAAGCACTTTGTAATTTCCTCCATGCACAAATGAAAAGGCTGGTGCAAGATTAGTAATTGAATTCGCAAACATGTAAAAGCAAGCAGACCAATTCCAAATGTGTTCCCTGGGGCTCCATAGGTAAAAAAAAAAAAAAAAAAGATCAAATATAAACATAGATTTGAAGCTGAGTTGCTGTTTTTGTCAGTGGAATGTCACTGCACAACTGTCTGTGGGACAGACAACCACATAGCTGTTGGTTGTCTGTGTGCTGGGAGAGAGGGGTATGGGATGCAAAAGCTGATGAAAAAGCTGGAGAGGAAGGAGGGGCGGGGGGTTAAGGGGATGCTTTGAACATGGGTGGGTGGTTGGAGGGGACTTGGTTTGTCTGAATGGATTAACACCACGGACACAAAAGGATTAGGAAGTAAAGATCTGTTGTTTTTTTTTTTATCAACCCTTCCCTCCATTTCTCTTGACTCATATCATGCACCCTCCACCACCACCACTCCACCCTTTGAACAACTCCTGGGTGTCCCTTCAACATTGGTTTGAGCCAGAAAGCTGGTTAAGCAAGTTTCTGAAGACATCGAAACCAATTAAAAACATCCGGTCATCAATGTTTGGAATAATGGCAGTTAACATCAATTGGAAAACAAAGATTCAAAAGGCGTTATAGTTCACAAGGTGATCTAAAAGAGCTACAAGAACATAGCAAGGGCACCATGATCCACAAAGTGTGTTTAATTGCGTATTAATAATTAGAGAGGTAAGGCAGGGTGGAATATAATCTTTATATCTCTACACCCATTTCGACTCATATCAGTAAATCAGGTGCAAAACAAGCAGCTGAAGTGATCTCATTGAGATCAAAATGCACTTTCACTAGGTAGTCAACTCCTCTTTATGCCTTTTGTGAAGGATATGGTTGACTGATCTTTCACAAAGGAAGTTAGTCCGACCATACTGGCTCATCACACGCACACGTCCACATGTTCATTTACAAAAAGGCAAGTGTGACCTCAGTGAACCCCACAGCATGTGGAGTCCACGGGAGTTTGATGAAAACAGACAGTAAAGGAAAACATCACGGACAAAAGGGGTTAATTAGATATTTCCACCAGTGTGCACGAGAGTAGTTTGTGTTGTGAACAGTAGAGTACACTCCCTCCGGGGCAGAACGAGGGGTGAAACAGAAAGCGGGTTCCTGGAACTTTTTAGTTCATGTAGCCTTGCAGGAACAAATTTGCATTTAATGAAAAAGACATCGAAGCACAAATTTGACTGTATTCAAATGCTTTGGTAGCCATGCATACAATCAGAGTGCACAATTCATCAAGGCCAATTAGACCTTCTGTATGTTTTGTGTCATTATATGTACCATGACAAAAAAAAAATACAATATTTTAGGCTGATTTGTAGGATATCTTAGTTAATTATCTTTGACTTTCTGTCGATCTGAGGTATCAATATCATGTGACACAGAGGCCCTTTTCCTTTTACCATATGGCAGTAGGTTGAGCAAGGGGCCACATTAAACTTGAACACTATGCACAATAAGGCAGGTTAAGGCAGGTCAAAAAACAATTGGTAGCACTCGCTGGCAAAGAGGCAGCAATTTGAGCTCATCAAGTCTCAATGACCAATATTCAACTCAAAGTTCTTTTGGAACTTTAACTCGAATTGTTAAAGTTCCAAAAGAACTTTCACCAAAACCAAAATGAGAGTAAGATCATTTCACAACATCCAAGATGGGATCAATGAATATGCGCACACTATAAAAAGGGAATTCTGAGAAGATTTCAGGTTGCCTACAATGATGCTTTGAGATTACTTCTGAAAAGACCAAGACGGGCCAGTGCAATGAAATGTTTGTGACAGCCGGAGTCAGCACTCTTAAGGGTGTGCTTAGAGATCTGATATTTGAGCTTATATGTCATTTACATTAATTGGAAAATAAAATGCTCACGGTCTTAGCAAGCCCACGGGTGAACTCTACATGATACTATTCACAGCTGTGGAGAGACTGGTACACAGCAGATTTCAACAAGAGACTGAGCAGTTCTAACAATTTCAAGTGTTCAAATTGTCTGGTGCTAAAGAGTTAAATCAACACCAATTCAGAAAAGGACCAAACAGACTTAGCACAGTGTTGGTTTAACCGCAAAATATGCCATGTGCAGTTGTCTGTTATTACGTTTTATTAACTTCATGCTACATTTTATGTAATCTTGTTTTCGAATGGTTGTGGTTATGTGTATGGGTATAGGTTTTGTCGTTTTTTTTTTTTTGTTTTTTTTTTTTTGGTTGGACCTTGGAATGTGAAATGATGTTTGTAACCATATAACCATCCATCTATACAGACTAAGGTACCCTGTAGCAGATATGTGGTGCTCAATTCAGTCATGTATTGATCCAGTACTCTCTAACAGGCTAATGAAGAGTCTATAAAAACTTTATACCAATCAATCAAATGACACAGATGAAAAGAATTTGCTACTAATACGGGGGGATGCCTGCACACTTGGTTTTTTTTTTAAAGGGAATGATCTGAATACAATCAGCTGACACACACCGCAGGTTTTTCTGCTAATGATGTTCACTTTTGAAGAGTTCTCAGCAGAATTGAGATTCCTAAAGCATAAATTTAGAGGCTTAGTTGCATTCTGTTTACCGGAAGTCCGGTGGAGGTGCTGGTGGAACAGATAGTGAGACAGATGTCAGACTCTCATTAAAGATGCAGCATGGCTTGCTTCCTTTTCTCAGATCTTGGAGAGAGAAATGGAGCATATGGTTTCTGGTCTGACTGACCGCTTGCAGACATCTGACCACTCTGTGATTCATGAATGCCAACTCAAGCTAAATATATAAATAAATTAAACATTTAAGAGCATCTTGATGATTGTCTTAATACTGACAATCATTTTTTTAAAAATCACAATTTCCCTAGAAAGCTGCGAGCTTCAAAGTACTAATTTATAACAGCTTCCTCTCTCCAGAGATGCTAAGCTGAGGCATGTCCTTAATGTTCACCCTTCACACTTCATGCTGCTTCCAACAAGACAGAGAGGTGAAAATTAGAGACTGGAGTCAGCAATCTTCCCAACAGACAACCAATGGCCTTAACCCCTTGTAGATCTACAAATCTCCAGTTTACAGAGCCAGAACTGGTGAACTAAAGCACTTGCAGATTGAGTACAAAGTATATGACTTGGGCAAATTGGTACAGGATCTCCTAACATGATCACTGGAGTCTCTTCATGCCTCCAAATGACTATTTATCAGACATGAAATAATTTCTTTTTTCATAATACCCGTCACAGTATTTTCAATGACAATTACCCTTAGAACTGGAATTACACATATTCAAATTGATGTACAGTAGATCTTGCAATATGGTGTTCTTCAGTTCTAAACAGCTGATGCTGCATAGTAAAAAAAAATAAAAATACAATTTGATCTCTGCAAAATCAAATAGTATGCATTTTGAAGATATAGTTTATTTTACCGAGGTGAACCTATTCGAATATAAGCTTATATCAGATGCATCTTATATTGTTTTACAGTGTGAAAATCCCCATTTCTCCTCCTACTGACCTTGCTTTGCACTTTCCCTTCATAATTACAAAAGCAAAAACAATGACAATCGGGGCAATCTGAGTGAAAAGTTGAGCATTTAGCGCCCTCTGGTGTAAGCACTATCTCTTAACACTTAAAATAACTATGCATAGGCAGTCTCTAAAATAAATAAAATGATATGAAACTAAATTAAATAAAATGTTCTGTGAAAAAAAGAAAAAAAAAAGTATTTTAAAAAGAAATAGAGCATGGAAAAAATTTCATTTATCCGACATTTACACCTAAGATCATGCCATAAATACATAAATAAATAAGTAGGAGAATGCCATCTTTATATCACTAAGTGATTTTGTTCCAATGAAATGGTTAGCTTGATCATTCATAGTCGTAAGGGAGTACTAAAATTATAACAGAACTACAAACAACATATAAAACACAGTTTCACATAAAAAATGTTGACTTAGTAAAACTCCACCTTACTGTTTTACTGCACTATACTTTTTTACTTTTACTTGAGTAATGTTATTATGAAATATCAATACTATTAAGTGTCTGACTACTCAACCAACAAGTAACCCCAAAGACAGACACTCTCTGAAGCCGAAGCTCAGAAGCTTGGAAACTGCAGCCTTGAGTTTCCAAGCTCGGCACCACATGAACTGTAGTTGAATTTATTGTTGTTTGTTATTACACACATGTATAGGGACATGCGTACAGTCAATATATAGAGATATTGCCAAATTTTCCCTTGTGATTTTGATTATTATGGCTTGTAGGTGATGAATACTGGAGTTTAAGTGTTTCAAAACATTAAAATAAAAGTTAAATATTAAAAACTTGTGGTGTCACATACTCAAAACGCCAGTAATTTTTTTCTTATGTACAGAAGACAGTCATTAATATCCTACTTAATGAGAGTAAGTCACAATGGTTTACTCTCATTTACAAACCTCATGCCAAGTCATATTGACTCAGTGATTTATGCTAGAGGAGGCCCATCTACGTTTTAAGAAATGTACATACTTTCATAGGTTTGACATTTCTGTTTAGAATATTTTTTTTAATCTTATGTAATAGTATAATTTTATGAGACACTGAATTTGGGGTTTTCATGTAAACCATAATTATCCAAAATCACAAACAATAAAGGCGTTTCACGCTGTGTCATAATACCTGTCGTCCACGAGGTGGAGCCATTGTATCTCAAATAATTAGTTTACAGTAGGTTTAAAAAATACTCAAACTCCATAGATTTAATTACATCTTAAGGATGAATTAATGTTACAATAACGTACATAATCAGGGTAAGTAACTAGAATGCTTAAAGATTTTTGTTGCAGTTCTTTTCTTGTTCATTTTAATCCTTGGTTTGTCATTTAGCGGACTTTCTTTGATACACTTACCATTTTTCCTCATAACAGAAAAAAAAAAAAAAAAAGGTCAATCATGTCGGTAAAGTCAGTGCCAGAAAAGTAATCTCGTGATATTGCAGACATTACAATAACCACATAACATTTTATCCTTTATTGTAGAGGTTTACGTTTACCCTCCAAATATCATATCCAATATACATCAAGTGAAAAGTTCCATAAGTCTACTACAGTGCCATTTAGTGTTGACGTAAAGCCGAGATATAGAGAACAGGGAGGGGAATGTGCGCAGCACTTTGGAAACAGGCACAGCCAACATGCAGTCAACTACTGCAAAGTGCCAAACGCGGGACAGACTGGCTTCAGAAGACAACCACTCCTCCTCTGTACGACACCAAACCTCCCCTGTCTTTGCGGCGCGCTTTCTCTCATCCCAACCGATAATGTAAGACTCAGTTAGAAAGATCTGTCAGATGTTGACTCGAGCCGTCGCTTTTCACGTTCGCAATTCCGTTTTCAACACTGTCAGACAGCTTACGGTCAGACTCCAGCTGGTCATCTGCGAGGATACCTGGTGTGAGATGCGGCAATGTCCCGAGGAATATGCCCACGCGTCAACTCTTTTGACTCCGTCAGGATTTTGGCGTTGGTCATTTTCGCAGTGAACGCAATCGAGGCGGATAAGCATACCTGTTATGAAGTGAGAGCCGCTTTCCAGCAGCGATACATCGGACCGCTTCACCTGGTGCCGGAGAAACCATACAAAGGTAAGTCTGGTGGAGAAAAAAAAAAAAAAAAAAACCCTTCCGCGGGAGCACGTGTAAGCATCATTTAGTAAGTGGCATGGCATGCTGTTTTTATTTTATATTTTTTTTATTTACGTATTTAAGCAAATATATCCAAACACCTATAGGTTAGATTAGAGTTTTGTTTTCTTAATGTCATATGTATATATGCAGGGGTCAAAAGTGCACATGAGAGCATATGGGAGTGGAGAGGGGAGCACCAAGACAACAGATATGGATTGGTCATATTGGATGTTTTAAATGACTGGGACTGTCTCATATTGTGATTTCCTCAGGTCAGGGCATGCAGACAAATCAGTGAAAAATATTGAACAATTTGTTTTTAACATTTTTGTTAACTTTAACATTTAACAAAATGTCATCATACATATGTCATCATATATATGACTTGGTTAACGCATAATATATGATGACATATATATGACATCATAGGACTTGGTTAACATATAATATATGATGACATGTATATGACATCATATATGCCGTATATGATGACTTACGGCAACTTATGATGACATATTATTTATATGTCATCATAAGTTGATGATTTATGATTTCATCAACTTAGAAATCATATGCTGTTACTCTGAAGCCAGAGCTACTTTACTCCTTGATCATTTGTCACTTATCCGTGGCGCTGAGACAACCTTTTCAAGTAACAGCTTGATTATTGGAATTCGGATTATACAAATGTTCTAATCTGTGTTGTCAAAGAGGTCATGATAATAACTGATTAAACAGGATATATGACTTGGTTAATGCATTTGGGTAAATCAAACTTGCAAATGCTAGGACACAGGTTTCCCTGTGGTGGTGCTTCGTTGACATCCTCCTGTTTTATTTTGTTTCTTACGCATAAGGGGAAAGGTCTTCCACAACTTCAAGTCAAACGAAACAAAAATTATGACAATAAAGATTAAGAAGTTGATCAGACTGCATCACAGCAAACTGAAACATTGCTAAGAAGCCGATGGTTGAGATTTTCTTTTTTACAACTGTGATTGTAAAGAAATCACAGTTCATACCCATTCTGCACTTTTGCTAGCATTATTCTAAGAGGCTTTTGTTTTGATTGTTATTGCATCAATAAAACCCAAAACCTTGTTTATTAAGGTTTTGTGGGATGGAACTTCTTTCAGCAAATCAAACAAAAGGAAGCTTTGTGAGGCTTCACATGGTTTTCAATGTATTTTATTAAGCAGAATTCCATTTAGGGAAGTTTTGGCTTTGGCATAACAATGGCAATGTCGGTTGACAAACACTCTGCAAGTCAAACATGTTATAACACTCTGTGTTATCTTTGGTTTGAGATTTAACATGTTCTTTTAATTTTTTTGCATGTTCATATTACCAGTAAATGTAATCATGATATATTCATCCGTCCAGCTACTCATCCCTTATCTATAGCAGCTTATCCTTGCAGGGTTGCAGGTGGGCTGGTGCCCATCTCCAGTGGTCATCATACTGTACATAATGACATATTGGTATATGTCATCATATGACCCAGGCCGGTATTTAAACCTAGGACCTTCTTACTGCAGGACAATAACTCTAACAACTATGCAGTCCACGATATATTCACTTAATTCATAAAATTCATAAGAGATAAGAAATAATATATCTAGAGAAGAAAGAAACCCACAAAAGCCATACAAAACCACCTGCATGTTTAGGGAAGACGTTTTCTTAATCAAAGTCACAACATGAAAATGCACAGGGTTTACAACAAGTTTCGAGATATGATTGCTATTAATAAAGGTTTCTTAATCTTCTGACATGTTACCCAATATAACATTTCAGATTTTGGCTAATTTTCTGATGCTACAGTTTATCCTCTTGTTATTATGAAGACTCCACATAAGAACACACAATGGGAGCTCTGCAGTCCATTAGTTTGAGGCTGAATAGAACATGTTCAAAAAGGATTACTGGGAATTATGTCTTGGTTTGGTACTAATCAGGGACTACAAGTGTGGATTGTTAATTAGGAAATAATAGAGAATATTGCACTGCCATAGTATTTTGCACTTACCTCATTGTATCCATCCATCCATTAATCCATCCATCCCCACAGCGACACTACCAAGTTCATTCTAAATTGTCCCAAGGTGTCACTTTGTTGTAGGATATATACTGAGTTGACATGTACTGTAATTTGAGCTTTTGACACATTGATCAGTAATAGTATTAGTAAAATAACAAACTTGTTACTGTCACAAGTGCAACCCAAACCAGATTTCTTCCCCTAATATGCTTCATATCTGACTGGCACTGTGAACAGTCCATTTTCAATCTTTTCACCTACCAAAAAAAGCTAAATAAATAAATAAATAAATAAATAAATAAATCTGATTTGTACCACTTCCATGTAGTACAAAATTGGATACCTAGCTGATCGTTTTTAAAAAAAATCTCCAGTCAAAAAGCTTATGGCACATTTTATCCAGATGTAAACAATGGCTAAAGCAAGAAATGCTGACATTTTGAATCAGTGGAAAGACAACAAGATATATTTAAATTAGTTTTTGGGGTGACAGTTTCATGCACTGCTCAACAACTTTAAATTCGATTCATAGACGGCATCATCCTCTATTGCTCCTGTAAACTGTGGGCCGCGGTGTGATGTCTATGATCTTTGTTCTTCACTTCCTGTTTACTAATTGGGGTATTTTACATAAAATTTAATATTTAGTTCAATATTTTACCTACCGAACATTTTCAGCAGAATAATTTGAGGCAATATCCAGGTATAAATTACAGAGCTACTGCCCTTCCAGTGTTGATGATTTTTCTACACTACTTTGCCATAAAAATCACTCTGTAAGCAGATGTTCCCAATTGAACACTGCATTCTTATAGGAACAACTTATGTTTGACTTTTACTCTTTGTATTACAACTACTATTCAGTGCAGTTCCCAAGTACCCTATTTTCCAGACTATAAGCCGCTTCTTTTTTCCTAAGCTTTGAACCATGCGGCTTATAGTCCGGTGCGGATTTTATGTGAAACCACTAGGGGGCTCTTTAGCAGGAAGTGAATCAAATGGAAGTCAAAATTGGAAATTAAAGAAGAAAGCGCCCATTAAAACGGAATTAGGTTTTAACAGGGAATTGAAATTTGAGAATGTTGTTGATCAGTTAAATAGCATTGAGGGGAAAAATAAGATTTTTTGTTTTTTTTTTAAATAATACTGGGATCATGAAAATTTGAGGTATAGATATTAGGATCCAATAGATGGCAGTAGTGCAACAATAATGGATGCAAGCTGCCTTTGAAATCTAAAGAAGAAACAGAAGAAGAAGAAGAAGAAGAAGAAGAAGAAGAAGAAGAAGAAGAAGAAGAAGAAAGCGCCTATTTTCATTTAGCACATGCTAGTAGCAGACATGAAGGAGTTACAGTTACCGTTCGCAAACTACCGTAATCAGTTCAGTTAAATCTAAACTTGGCACCTTTTTATTTTTCAACCGTAATAAATGTGATATTTAATTGACCTGTTATGCCTCAAATTTTGGGTGTCCGCCCCCCTCAGCTGCTGCTGCATCGTTGTGGAAAACCTGGAGCGGAAGAGATATCTGCGACTTATAGTCCGGAAAATACGGTAATAGATCATAGTAAGCCACACTCCTGTCTCTAAACATTAAATATATTCTGGCAAATGTTTTTCTGCATCCATAGTCAACATTTCAGATCCTATAGACACCATTTTTTCCAAGGATAATTTAACCCTTGTGCGTGCGAGGACTGAGGCAAACGTAGAGGACTGTGGAAAATGATACAAGTTTTACGTGTGTGGGGTCGGTTGGATCCCATTTCTGGACACAAGTGTTAAGCAGTTTTCTCATTATTGTGAAAAACTGTTTTCTTAAGTTTGGTCTTAAGAAAACAATTTTTGTCATATTTAGATTTTCATTTTAATTTGGAATGAAATAACACCCATTGTCATTTTATCATGTTAGGGGGCTGGCTATTTAAGGCCCAAGGCAGTTGCATAACTTTGCTTATCAGATACTGTCACTCTGCCAGTGACAATCACTAAATTGAAGTCAACTCGTCAGAGTCATGCACCTTTCCTTCAGTCTTGATGTAGCTATATTGGTAAGATTTTTTTACTCGTGTTTGTTTTTTTTTTTTTAGAAAATCCATTGGCTACACATTCAGATTCTAGATCAACTGCTGAGACTGTGTGGAAACTAGGAATTTATCAGCACTGGACCTTTATGTAAAAATGTGAGACCCAAGTTTTTTAATTATGTTTGCTCTTCAAATGAAAAGGAAAAGATTTTTGTTTTAAAGTTAATTAAATTTAGAATAATTATGCATTACAACTGGTAATCCTGAGGTCATTTTTTTTAATGGTGGTTGTATTTAAGGATATGGTTTATTTTGGAGTAGCGCTCTACTTGATAAAGACTGAGTTTACTGCAGCAGTTGTTTAACCTGCATGTTGGTTTCAGGTCAAGTGTCACCCAGCATGAGTCTAAATGCTGTAACTGGAAGAAGAGTAATAGATAGCGGAGTGGGAAACATAGTTTGAGGTGCATCTAAACCACTTGATATGTTTGTTTTATGTAGCGTTACCATTGGCAACAGAGTATGTCATTTCCATTACCCGGTGCAGTTGTAGTTATAAAGACAAACTTTAGCCTGCAGCTACCATCTGTGAAGGACACGTCTACTCGCTCCTCTTGAAACTAAAGATGGCGACTATATCATGAAGTCATTAAAGAATAGCATTGGCTGACCAGTGAAACATCATTCAAACTCTATGAGACACTTTCAAGTTCACTGATTAGGAAAAGTGGATGACACAGTTAGCAACTTTCAACATGGACATTCCAGAACTTTATACAAAACTTTTCTGACCCTACTTGTCACCTTCTGACAGATAAGTTGCAGCCTTTGGAGCTTGAAAATTTCAAAACCAACTCTTGTCATTGTCTTGTCAATGAACAATGGTGTTAGTTTCCCCAGTATTCTCTCTTGCATTAAAGACTGTTGTGATAATAATTGAAGAACTTTCGCAATTTGAAGAGTCATGCCGGTCATGCTTCCCCATGAATTTGCAGTCAGAATCGGAGAGGAACAGCTCCTCTTTGCCAAAAAAAAAAAAAAAAAAAAAAAAGTCATTACTGAAAAAAATTAGTCTGCCATTGATTAGATTTAGGAACTATATATTTATATATAATATATAACGTATGTGGTGTGTACATATCTATATATACATATATATTACTTCTGTTGTTAAACTGTGTTGTTGTAGGTCCATGTACATATTGGAGACTAGAGTGATCAAAGGGGGGGGAAAACACTACCTGGCGATTAAGCTTTCTAAATTTGAATTATATCTTTAAAGCTCAAAGATGTGAAACTGATGCTTAGAATGGGAGATTTAGCATGTGTAAGAATTATGTGTACATAATGATGCAACTTTTCTTCGGTCCTCACATCGTATGCCAACAAAAGCAACTCCTGAAATGTGAAGAGGCCAGGCTTCAGCCTTCCTCACAGTGTGATGTTTGCCTTAGGATACAGTGCTGCGCTTTATGTGCTGTGAACAGATTTCTTACAAAGTAGCAGGAGTGTGTCACCCAGCGTTTGGAGGATCCAGTTTCAAATGAACTGCATTCTTGCACCACACTTATGTCTTTGTTTGGCAGTCTTTTCTTCAAAATGAAAATGCAAAAAAATATTTTATCAACAATTGCCATAGAAGGAAGATGAAAAGTGGTATAATTGGATGCTGTTGCTTTAAATGTTGATTGGTATTTGGGTTACTTACAATCTTTGGAGTTAAACTAAAACCTAAACGGCTATGTTTATGGGATAATTTAAGATATTTTTCATATGTAAAATATATAAACTCGTTTTGATGAGACAAAACCTAAATCAACTACATAATAAAGAAATAAAAATGTATTATCTGTTCCAGAGGTATAAGGAGTAAAACAATGTTGGTTTTTTTGCTTGCTTGTCTTCTCACCTTCAACAATCTGTGTTTTTCATCTCATATTACCATTTATAGAGACAAAAGACTTACTTCAATACAAGAGTAAAATAATACCTGTGTAATTAACAAAACAAAAGGATGTTGGTCTCCTAACAGTTGATGAATTGGAAAACAGTATGTTACAATGTGTTTTCATGTCCTTAAACATTTAGAGCTCTCAAACTTTGACATCATCTTTGATTAACTAGATGAGTCGTTTTACTTGCCCTCTCTCAATTTCTCAGCTGTCATTTAGAGTTTAAATCTAGGGATTTAAAAAAAAAAAATTCTCAGGGATAATTTTGAGTTTTTTAAGGACAAAATTCAAGACTACATTGTCCTCTAAAATCACATAAACCACATTATTGAATTGAGAAGTGCATTTAAGTGCCTAACACAACCAAATACTTAGCAAAGTCAGTTGACTAATCTTAGCTAATCTATCAGTTTGGTTTTATTCATCATATGTTATTTTCTTCATATAGTCATTGTATATACATCATATATACATGGTGCATAATTTTGTGCTCAGCAGATTTTTTATGCCCCTGGCTGTTCAGAGGAATAGGTTTTTCTTTTAGTGTATGCTTGCTATTAAATCATATAGAAATGTCTACATAGAAAGATTAATGTTCATCCACCAACACAAAGAACACCGTAGGGCCTTTAGGGCATTTCTAAGTCAACATATATTGTTAAATGGGTCGTAACAGATACTATAAGTAATAGTAATGCCCTTCCAGTAAATTGCTGCTTCAGCAGGTCTGAGTCTATTTGCCCACTAACCTTACATCTATCTTTATGATCTGTATTTCCAACTTCTGGCCTCTGATGTGGCTTTGGACTCCATGCCAATCACTAAATGCAGTTCCAGCTCTGGTTCTGGGAAAGCCAAACATTCTGACTTTGTTTCAAGGTAGTCCAAAACTTCAGGTATGTGGCAAAGACCGCTTTGAGATGTGCTTTCATTCAACCCGGTCTGTAGTAAGCCCAGCAGATCTTTACAGTGTAAATATCCTCCATGTTCAAAGGGTACAGAGTTCTTGAGGCAGAGGAAGGCAAACCAAGTTAACTGCGTACTTTTTAACAAAGTTATTCTTGTTCTTGGAAAAATGGCACTGCATATAAATAAACAGTAGCCTTTAACACTCTGATGTTCACTTATATTTCTCAAATATAAGTGAATATTGGTTGAAGTTTAATTACTGGGGTTCTGATGTTCACTTATATTTCCCAAATATAAGTGAACATCAGAGTGGAATATCCATACCTAATTTGAAAGATTGAAACAACATATAAATATCGTTTGATCTGCACAATGCTACCCTATGTAATATACCTCATATCTTGAATGTAGACAGTCAGAATACATTGCAAACTGCTCCGTAACAAAGATCATCTTGAACGAGTGCAAAAATAAACATTTTGTGGTATACAAATGTACTTACCTTCCAAAGCTGATTCATATGATTCATCACTAACAATAAAAACACATATTCATATGCTTCAATTGTTTGGCATATCATTATTAGCATGCAAGTTACAGGAATTGTGCAGTGGTTGAGCTTCTCTATACTGAGTTTTTGACAAGACCATTGACCATTTACTCCAAAGGCATTAGTCACCTGAAAACAATTAAATGAGTTTCAGAACTGGCATCTCATCTGGACTGTGTTAAAGTTTTGCCAAGCAGCATAAGGAGAGTGTACATAGGGCACTAATTACACATAGTAAAGGGCATTAGATTTAGTTTTACTCCCTGGGAAATGGGAAAGAAAAAGATGTAATGTAACAACTTGAAAAAAAATAATGATCCCATTACACATTAAATATGTGGTTGGATAAAAAGTGATTGGCAAAAATCACATTTTGACATGTTATAATTAATAGCTTCAATATATTTTATTAAAATGTTATATGATAGACCAGCAGGAAGTAAAACATACTGATTATTTGTGAATTCCATGCTTTCTTTTCTTAGGGAATATTTTTTTGAACATGTTGTGCCTCTGACTACCAACTGACTGTTATTTAAACAGATTAAACAACAGATTAGTTGTTCAAGAAATCATTTGCATACCAAATGAGTTTATTATTATTTAATGACTTCCACAGTCACGTGATCAAAGTCTAATATAGGACCTTTGGAATGTGTTAGAACAGGAGAGTTTGGAAGCAACAAATCTGGCACAACAGCATGTTGTAGTCATGTTAATATAGACCAAAATTTCTGAGGAACCTTTTTAACACTATATCTTATGAAGAATTAAAGCTTTTCTTAAAGCAACCTGGTTTTAATGTAAATCCCATGCGTCTGGTGAGTGTAGGTGTTAAAAAGATACTGATAAAAGGAGCCAATAAGCTACTGGCCTGATTTTATGGAAGAAACTGAGTCATCTTTCTAATGAATATAGACATTTTATTTAATATTTCTATTTAGAACAACACCTGGCTTATATATCACTTATTTAATGCAATTATATGTGTAGGACAAACAAAGAGTCAAGGCTAGGATCAATCCGAGAGAGTGAGCTCAGGAACAGAAGGAGTGGAAACTGGAGAAAAGAGACAATGATCAAGCTTTAAGCTTAAGCTTTTGTACTTACTACAGACACTACAGAACCTTACAATTCAATCACTATAATAACTGTTCTTTGGTTAAAATTTATACTCTTTTTCAGACTGCTTATTAACTTATATAAATCAAGGGGATAAAGATTGTGTCATAAGGTAGATTAAGAATAAACTGATTTTATCAGTACAAATTAATTATTCTAACATGTCCACAAATAAAACAAGTTCATTGCTTTTTGCCATGACAGTGCAGAAATCTGGCAGGCAGAGCATTAGGCAACAGACAAGTGTCAAAATAAAAAGCAGACCCCTACAGAGATAGAGATAATGAGCTAACAGCCGGAGGACAGCCAGTCATGACTTCATTCATCTGGCTCTGGGATGGAAACAAATGCAGTCTCTCTGGGTAATTAAAAGACACCCAGGCCTCACAAGGATATGCCCGGCAAATGGGTGAAAGAGAGATTCAGAATGTAACCCTATTGTGTTTCATGGAGGGATTTGACCATTGAAGCGCTGGTCTTGTGGTCTGGCCTAACACCATGCTTTAGGCTCTGATTACAACATCTGCCTAGAGCCATCCTTGTCCAGCCTTTCCCCATGTAAAATGAGTTATCTGAGTGATGTAAGACTTTTGCATAATACATTTTGATTTAATTTATGTGTTCCCAAGTCACTTTCTCACTTCAGCAATGGCATAAGGCAGCTGATACAGTTGAGGGTGGACGAAGTCTCATCTGATGTGAACTTTGTGTTAGTTCATATTGGTTGAAGTTTAATTACTGGGGTGATATTGTTATTGTACAATGCTTTTTTGCAGCCTATTAAACCAAGTGATCATGTTTATCATTAAATATCCACTTATGATCATATATAGTTTGAAAAAAATGGGTATCCATGTATTTGTTTTATCTCCTTTAAATCTATCATTAAGTGCATGTGCATACCTCAGTATATGAAACAACCATGTGTGCCTTCGTATCACATTGAGGCAAGATCATATATTTAGCTCAGACAGTATTTATAGCTGTTAAACATGGATGAAATACTTGGTCTACTTTCTCACCATGACATGGTGCCGCTTCTGTCTTTCAGAGGAGTTATGACTTGTCTGTGCACATAGCCAGGAACTTTAGATACACTGTAACATATTTCCTTCAGTGTATGATCATAAACTGACATATGCAGAGTCGGAAATATGTTTTATTAACTACAGCCACTGCACAATTTCAATGAACTCCTGTATTTATTTGCTTACCCTCCCACCATATAAATAATCCATGGTTTTAATTAAAACAACAAAGAAAAAAAAACTGATTACTGCTGGATTTGTTGTTTCCCCAGATGCTGATCTGCAGATATGTAAGCACCAAGGTCCATCTTGCTGCACCAAGAAGATGGAGGAATGTTACCAGGCTGCGGTGAAAAGAGAAACCCTCCAAAAAATTGAGTCCTACACCTATGAGCTGGAAAATATGCTGTCTAGTCAGTTAGATACCTTCCAGGGTAAGTGATCAAATGATTGTGTCAGGCAAAGGTTGAAGGGGTCTACACTCTAAAAAGTGTTTTTGGCTGTAGTTCATTTTATGGACTTATCTACATAAATGTTACTTAATTTGTTTGGTTTAGTGATGACACATTACTTTTGTGTGTTCAACTAACTTAAAAGTTACAAATCTAACTAACATAAATTAACTTAGAGGACCTTTTTACTGTGACTTTACTTGAAACAATTGAGTTCAACACCAAGTTTCATATCCTATGTCTGACCAATTCAATTTATTATGTTCACCCAACTCAATTCATTAAGTTTATCCAACTCAATTTACAAAGTTTTTAATGAATAACTTAATTCATTAAGTGTGTTTAACATTACAAATTTAAGTCACTCTCACTAAAGTCATTTATTTTTGTCTAACAAATAATTCAAATCTCTTTGACTAAATTCAATATAAAGTCAGCTCAAACTTTTAAGTTGTTCCAAACTATCAAACAGAAATATTCAAAATTACATTGTCACTCACATTGTACTTAAAATCCGGATAGAGCTTAAATTATTTTAAACATATGTTTTAACATGTTATTTTAGTTTTTCAAAGATCCTGTTTACTGAAAAAAGGAAGTAGTTTATCCATCTTAATTTATTAAGTTGATTTAACTTAATAAATAAGAGGGAAAGACATGCAACAAAGGTCATCAGGCTGGAATCGAATCTGTGACGGCCACGTTGGAGACACCTTACGTCAAACGGCGGATACGAAACCAGCATTGAACTTAATTGTTTCAAAATATACTTTTTAGATTATCCTCTAAAAAGTGCATTTTTAGAGTACACTTCTTGGAGTGCACTCTCAAGTGATTCCATAGCTGTACAGTGACAAATATGTTGCATTTGCAATGGTAAAAGCTGTCATTTACTGCTCTTATTGTGCAGAGGTGCTGACTGACGTGTTGCACGTGTGCGACAACGCTGTGGCCAAAGTGTGCAATATAGTGATGTGACGTTCATGAATGAGCCGATTCTTCTGGATGGCTAACAGAAGGAATAAAGTAGAACAAGATCATGCAAAGTGCAAAACAAATCGAAAACTCAAGCATGACCAAACTGAAAGAAGTAAGAAATCTAACCAAGAAAACAACAAAAGCAGAAATCCACAAGCGGAAGGGATATGACATTTGGCTATTTTGTTCCTCATAATTAGGAACAATTATGATTATTTATAGTCATTCATTGCGAAACTAGGCCCTTTTATGGCACAACAATGGCTTGAGTGACTATTTGTGGTTTGAAACAAAACAATGCCAATTTCAACTGGAGAGTGCTGAAATTAGATGCCATTTTGGTCCCAGATCTGAGCTTAGAGTGTGAACTGAACAATGAATAAGATTTGGAGACAATATTTTAGTGACTTTGAGAAGGTGTGGAACAACTAGAGGATAGAATAACACAGACACAGCACATCCAATGTCGAGCTGTTGAAGGAGGGGTTTGATACTGCAAATATGGCTATGGCAGTCAAGTGTTATGCCCATAGCACAGTTGAACTCTTTAAACCCATACACTGGCCAGTTGGATGGATTAGCATGCCCTTAAATGCATCTGATGTCAGGTGATTCAGGCCAGGCAACACGCCAACCAACTTTAATTACGTTGATGGTGTTGTCTACAGCTGCACAGCCAAGAAATGAAATCAGGAACAGTGCAGAGAAATACGCGCACACACAGGCACACACAACACAATGTAATTGTCTAGTAATCTGTCTGAGTTCAAACTGAAAAATTAACATGAAATCAGTATGAAATAAAGTCTTAAAGAGCTCACTATTTTCATTTAACTGGCTCTGTGGTTGGAAATAACACAGATACAAAAGAGGAGTGGACTTGCCAAAATCAAACTGCCATTACTTCATGCAGCATGATCCACTTGCTACTTCACATTCCTCCCAAGGCACTCAGACAGCGCAGAGACTGTCCTTAGAAGGCCTTGAAAAGGAAGAACTAGTGACGTCATTATTTTTAACACCATCACACCCTGGTTTCTATTGTTGCTCCTTTATGATTTTCCGTTTTTGACTATTCTGGAAATGTGAAACGGCTGATCATCGTTGTCCAGACTGGCTCAGACATGATGTAAGATGGGAAGGATCTTATTTATGATAAAACAGACAAGTAGCAGATACACTCTTCAAACCCACTTATGGTTCTTGTTGAAACAGCTGTAAGAGGGAGAATTATATCTCCAGTACTCTAAACACCTGAAAACTATGTGTGAAATAGATGGATTCATTAAAGAGCTGATATCCACCCCTGCAAGATTTATAATATATATCCAAGGTTCATGGTACATCAAACATTAACACAATTAGTCAAACCGATATCTGTTCTTTTTTGAGTGGGTGGACTGATTGTGCAACACACAATTCATCTGACTTTACTGCGAATTTTCTCTTGTCCATGAAAGGTCAAAATCATGTATGCAGGCTCAAATATATACATACACTATATGGAGGAACTTTTCTGCCATAATCCAAGAGCACACATTTTCAGTCTGAAGGCAGGATTTCATGTCTTTTGTTCTCACAATGTTTAATACTTTTGCTTACATTTTTAATTTGAAAGCAGGACTTCATGTCTTCTCAAAACTTGCAATGATTTTACTCAAAACTTCTCGCGCTCAGACTTAGTCTCTGCTCGGAGTGAACCTTCGCTTGCAAAACTCTCTGTTTCATGGTGGAATTTTTCTGCCATAATCCAAGAGCACTTCAAATCTGAAAGCAGGATTTCATGTCTTTTGCTCTCAAACCTTTCAATACTTTTGCTTACATTTTCATTTTGAAAGCAGGACTTCATATCTTTCTTCTCAAAACTTGTAATGCTTGTGCTGAAAATGTGTACAAGCATTTTCAGTACAAAATCGATATCAGCTGCAGCGTCTTCAGCAGACAAACTGAACGCTGCCAGGAGTATGTCTGTCTTGTTCAAATCAGAAGATTCACTGAGATCTGAAACATTTAGAACATTATTTTAAAGACACAAGAAAACTCAAACCTCAAATTACCAAATGAAATAAAGATATCAGTAATTATTATTTCAACAAAGTTCTGTGAATTTCCGTTTTAGTACAGTCAACATAAAAAAAGGCAACCCAGACTGACTTTCTCCAGAGCAGGTGTTAAAATTAGTTTATCAACCTCCACTGTGTTAAAGCAACCACTTATTAACAATCACAAAAATAACAACAGTCCTGCAAAAGTAACACTGAGATGGACCGAATATGTTTTTAATGTAATCTCTTGCTCTTTTGGCTTGCGGAGCTGTCAGTGAGATGGCACAACAACGGGTGAGGAGAAACATGAAACATGAAAAACATGCAAGCAGTTTTGAGTAGATGTGCACATTTTTACAGTTTTTTTTTTTTTTTTTGTACTTTGTTGTGCTGAAACTGAAAGTTCAATAAACAGCAAAATTGAACTAATTACCTCTTTTGTCAGCATATGTCACAATAATCACAATAAAGATTGGTCATCAAATGAGAGAAATTATTCCAGGAAGTATTTCAACTATGGCTCCTTCGGTGACAACTGCATGAAATTAAATTCATTATAAAATATAAAAGAAAAATTTGTGTGGCGCTCAAGAAAGTAATGCTACCTCAAACAAACCACTCAGACTATCAATGTTGGTGTCTTTTTACCCAGTTTTAATGGTTTAAAAGGTAATTTAAATGCTGACCATGTCCATCCCTTAATGACCACAGTGCACCCATTATGGCTTCTTCCAGCAGGATAATGCTGGCAACCAATTTTTTGAACATGTCAGTGAACTCGCCATAATCCTTTGGCCCCCACAGTCACCATATCTCAATCCAGTCGCACAACTTTGGGATGTAGTGGAACGGGGGGATTTCCATCATGAATTTTCAGCGCTTATGACTTGCTATGATGTCAATGTTTTCCAAAACCTCTGAATAATGTTCAAGACTCTTCGGGGAATCTACGCTACGGGGCACTAAATCAGTTCTGAAGACAAAAAGGGGACAACCCACTGCTAGCAAGGTATACCTAATAAAGTGAACAAATTACTTCAGAGTGTTTGGGCTTGTGGGATGCCAACATAAATTGTTGTTTGATCCATTGTTTCTGAATGCTCATTCAGAAACAATGGAAAAACCTGTGCTTGTGAAAGCTACGCATGTCAGAGAAGTTTGTTTGTATGTAGCCTAAAAGCATATTTGATGGAAATTATTTTTCTTTCTTAATTTAAGCTGTCACAATCATCTTAGGTGGCCCAGATAACACAACTTCCATAAGGGCACCTGTCCCATTAATGAACAAGTGGGAATTTCCAAGCATATGTTTGTTTTACTTGTCATGTTTGCATTCCAAACTATGCCTGTATGCATTTGTAAGCAGAAGACATAGTAACTCACTTTGTTGCTGCACACTGTCTTCATTGTTTCATCAAATTCAGCACCTTTTATCTTAATTACAATCTTTTTTTGTCTAAAAGAGTTCCTGCTCATCTTAGGCGATTCTTTCCCCCTGTCTTCTCACATTTTTGTGCTCTCACTTCATGTTTCTGTCTTCTTTTTTTTCTTTGCAGATGTTTTGACTGACAGGGTTATTGCTCTAGAGACTGATGCTTGGACACAGGATGATATTTCTCTGCACCATGAGCTCATTCTCAAATTAGGGAGGATATCCGGAATCTATCCCTACACGTCTTATTTAATCATCCTGGGTGGAGGGGAAATGTGTTTATGTAGTTAACAGTAGAGCCAGTATATTGCATATTTTGTGTGGATGTTTGTGCTGTTACTGTGCCTATAGAAATCTCTTGAGAAGTTTTGATTAAAAACGACAGCATTGTTTCCCCTGAATTTGAAAAACTTTGTCTCTTTAGAGAATAAAAGAAAATATCAAGGGAATGAAGGAGGGGAGAAGAAAAACCTAACATCTTCCGAAAGGCATGAAGTTTCTTTAAACTGAATTTCTTGCTTGTGTTT